ACATGAAAGCCAGGGTACAAAAAAATCAAATTTAAAAAAGAAGGGTATAAACAGGCAAAGGATACTGTGCATTTCGAATGGAATGAGCACAAGGCTGTCATGAACAGCTGGGAGATTTCCTGGTGCCACGATGGACAGAGTGCACTGAAAAGGCAAACCTGGTTCTTAGGTTATTTCCTTAGGGGTTTTCTTTGACTCCTTTTTCAAGGTCACAGGGCTGCAGCTTTGCAGTCAGTGGGGAACTGCTGGTGAGGGAGAAGACAGTATACCTACTTTTTGCTTAGTGATTAAGCTTAATGACAGGCATTTTAATGTTTAATTTTACTGGTTTTAAAATTCTTTGTATAAATATGAGTGGGTTTAAAGGAGATAACACAACGTTTAAGATGGTTTACTGAAATATGAATACTTTCACAAAAAGAAGGGTAGTGCAGGAATACAGGCAGCCATGTAACACACAGCCAGTGGTGCTCATGCTGCTGAGTTTCTTAAGGAAAGTGAGGTACCCAAATCCATTATCTGATGTTCTTCATTCTGCTTCTCTAGCAAGACTCCTGCTGCCCAGAAACACTGCTAGGAGAGCTTTGCTGTGCTAAACCACACTAAGCCTGTGGTTTGTCTGCTGCCTTCTTGAAGCTACAAGCCAGAAGTTTTATTTTTCTAGACTCTCATATTTCATTGCTCAAATATTACAGAATTGTTGTTGAAACTTGGTTTATTAAAGGTTCACATAATTGAATAGCTTTAAAGTACAGCCACAGCATGAATAATTATATCTTGTGCAATTACAGAAGTCAAGAATTTAAGATTAAATAGCCATTTCAAAAAATGTTTATATATACTATAATTTCCTCTGTAAATTAATAAAAAGGAGAGGATTTTGTTTCAGAAACTCCCTGACCTTACAGTAGTATCTTAAATAAGAAGCTTTGAATCCAAAAAAGAAATCAAATGCTTGTTTTCTGAAGTTAATTTTGTCACTTATTAAATCTTATGGCTGTGCTCCTTCTGTTCCAGAACCATTGTGGCACTGGTGTACAACGTGCTGAAAACCCTGATGGAAATGAATGGCAAGCTCTTTGATGAACTCACAAGCTCATACAAAGCAGAAAGGCAAAGGTACTGAGCCTTTTTCCAAGTTCCCATTGATGAACAAGTCCAAGCTGTAATTTTGGCTGCTGCTTTGCTGTTGTGGGGCTCTGTAGTGGAGCTGTTTGGTGCTGGGTGTCCCGTGAGTGAGGCTGTGCCATGGGAGAGCCAAGCCCAGGGAGGGGACAGGAGGGCCCCAGCTCTCCTCCTGCCTGGGCAGGGGATGTGCTCCCTCCTGGGTGGGAAATGGGTCTCAGCTGCTGCTGGCTGTGCTGCCCCAGGTGTCTGAAGGGCATGCAGCTGGAGAACTCCTCACAGCTCAGCAGAACCAGTGCTCACCCTACTCAGCAGCATTGCTGGAGTCAGGGAGGCAGGGCACAGGTGATGCTTGGCCAGCTGAGACCACTGCCAAGCCTCCCTGTGGTAGCTGTGTTCTTCCCTCACAAAGATTCTCAGTCCTTTAATTTGTGTGCATGTGATTAAAAAACCTCCTTAAAACAGCAGCCAGCTGTGCAAAGGCACCCTACAGCGCTGGCCTGCATTTGCTGGAGCAAAGGTACAGTTTCAGCACTCACATTACAAATTTGTTATGCTCTTTTTAATTGAGGAAAGTGTAATTGCCTCTAAAAATAGCTTTGGAGAAAAACTTTAAAGTGGAATTAGTAGATGCAAGTCACAGTTAAGTTACTGTGTCTCCAGATTGTGCTAAAAGCACATCTGAAATTGATCTTTCACTCTTTTCTTCAGAGAGAAAAAGAAAGAATTGGAACGTGAAGAGTTGTGGAGAAGGCTGGAGGAGTTAAAGCTTAAGAAGGTGATGGCAGAAAAGCAGAACAGCACTCACAACGTGCTCAATGCACACAATACAAGTGCCAAATAAAAGAAATGACCACCTCTACTCGGCAGACATTCTTTTTTTGTACCCTTTTGAAATATATAAGGATTTGTAAAAGAAACCTCATCAGTATAATAGAAACAGCCAATTTTTTTCTCTGGCAAATGTAAAGATTTGAATTTAAATACAGCAGTTAAGTGATGTCATTACCACAACCTATTGTAAATTTGTCTAATTATTGATATACTGTCACTTCCAATGTTTCATAGAACTGAATTATCATCCTTAATGAGTGAAATAATTAAGGGAGTGGTGAGAATTATGACTTGAATTTTTGATTGTGTTGCACATAGGTGGTATAGTTTGCTACGTACACATTTTTCCTTGTTTTATATGTGCTTTTCACATTGCTGCATACTTTGGTTAAGGTGATAGAAAAGGCTTCTAGTTGTGCTGTATTTTCTCAAATAAAACCAAGGTACGTTACCAGTAACTTGAGATATTCAGTATATGCCCCTTACAGCACCAAAAGCAACTCGGATCCAGAGCTGTCCTTGAATTCCTGATTGGATTCAGATTTAGATTTATACAATGCTCACATTAGAAAGGAGGCAAGGCAGGGAGAGAATGAGCTGCAACAGGTTGGGGTGGCCAGTGCCTCTGCCCTCTTCCTGCTGCCTCTTGGGTCCTGGGCTGGTTAGGGATTTCCTCCTGCTGCAGCTGAGGATGGAGCTTCCTCTGGAGAGCCCATCAATGATGCTCCTCATCAGCCCAAGGACCCTCTGCAGTGGTGCAGTCTCCAAGACAGACCCATCTTGGATGTCTCTGCGTTAGTTTTAGCATCTCATGGACTGAAGAATGAGACCAAAATTGGCATTACTATTTTTTTTTTTTCAGTAAGGAGGGAAGAATGTTGAGAAATTATTCCTTGTTTTCTTTAAAGAAAATGCAGTCTGTTTTTCAAAGGCGGAAAGTTGACAATAGAAGTCTTGTCTGTTTACTTGATCAAGTATTTTTTCACATCTTTTATCAGAATACCATTCCAATCTCTTAAATTGCAGTTGTGTGGAAACATTTTGTAATGAAAGGTCTTTGGGGAACTGAGCAGCATTCAATAAAGTCTTTATGTTTGTATTTAGTGCTGTACCTCACATCTTTGTGTTTCTGAAGACCAGGAGAATTAGAATGGCTGTTACAAACAACCTTATTAACTGCCCACTGTGGCTTTTCACTGAGTGGCTAAAGTGGGGTAGTCCATGCTACACTGTTTGAGTCAACTGTATTACACCTGTTTGTTGCTTCATTTTTGTCTCTTAAGTAGTTGTTTTACAGAGGGTATGGGACTAGCACAGCCTGAAGGGAAAGGACAGTCACACAGGCACAGCTCACCTTGCTTTAGTGCTTCAGTGCCTTTTTGCCTTTAGAAGAATAAAATTCCCAGTGTGTGGCAAACTTTGTTCAGCTGTCCTAGAGCCTAAATGAAAATAATTTACAGAAATGGTGGGGAACCAAGCACCTTGCAGGGGTTCAAGGAATAAATCACTGCCATTTGTAATTGTTACAAGTTTTTCCCAAAGTTAAAAATAGGGACATCAGGCTTAAGTAATAGAAAAAAACAACACAGGAGCTGTAAGATAGCCTTCCAAATTGTGCAACACTTGCTGTCAGGATTGCTCCTATAAATAGGTTTGTAAAAGAAAGGTTTCTTGGCTGGGATCACTGGTCTGCTCTTGTAACATTTCCTTATAAAACAAAACATCTTGACAGCTGAGATGTAGTGACTGAAGTGGACTGCTGTGGGAGTTTATTGAGAGGAAAAAATAGTGCATACTGCAAAAAGGAGTTTATCCTTTATTTAACTGTGTTTTCTACTCACCCCACAGCTGCAGCTCTGTTGTCTTCCAACTTACCTTCTCTCACCTCATTAGCAATAAAAGAAGGAAAAAAAATGCAGTAGGATCCATCAGAACCAATTCCAATCGTTTATAATTTTTGCTTTTTTTTTTTTTTTGGTAAAAGCCAAGAAATAGGTGCTGTTCAAGGAAGAGTTGGGTGTTCCTTTGGCAGTGGGGCATCAAGAAAGCTCAGCTGTCATAGCATAGGCTCTTAGGTAGCAAAGTCAGTGGGGGTTTTCTTGATGTGGAACGGTTCAGTGTGGGGGATATTATTGATCCCCCACCCCTTGCCTGGTTTCTGTCCTGTTCCCCATCACCCAGGGACGGAGTAGCTTTTTTTACTTCAACCATGCAGTGTTTGGCCTTTGCTGGTCTTGTCCAGTTTAATCTCATCCCTTTGCTGTGCACTAGGCTGAGCTGCTCAGGAGCCATCATTGCAAGACACTGAAGATAAGGTGGGGACTGGACACCACCTTTCCCCCATACAACCATCTCTGTCCCCTGAGTAAGCATTTTCCCCCAAACAGCCAGTGCTGCTATCCTGTTTATCTTATTGAGTTTTCTCCCCTGTTTACAACTGTGCCTGGTCAATGCAGTGCCTTAATTTGCTCTGGAAGCTAGCTGAAAGTAGGAAATTTTGTCCAAAAGGCTTCCTCAGATGCCAAAAACAAGGAAGGAAGGTGAGGGGGTACTTTTGATACACTTACTCCTCTGAGTACTCTGCTGGAAGAGGAAGGAAGACGCAAACTCTGAGTTGGCATCCTTGCAGCAAAGCCTTCAGAGCAAACACACAGTGGTGCCCTGCTCCCTGTAGAGCCCACACATCCAAGTCAGGCACTCAACTAACAAGGGACTTATAAGGAAGAAAAAGACACCAGCACCCCAGCACAGCTGGTGAGCAGGCATTCCCACAGAACAGAGAATCACAGCTCCTTGCCCTGCTGATGAAAGACTGTTTTTCACTTCCTTAGGAAAGACTCCAGAAAGAGGGATAAACAACAGCCTGAGACACACTTCAGGATCAGCCACCAGCTCAGCCCCCCATGCTGTCCTCCTGTTGCTTGAGTTTCTTTGAGCTGGACTGATCAGTGGTTTCCACCTTATCCTCATGCCATAACACTCCTGCCTCCTGTGAAGCTCCTCCCTGAGAGCAAGCAGATTCAAAGAAGGCACGCAATAGATTACTTGAAGTATTTTTTAATATTAAAGTCATTGTACTTTGATTTAAAGATGACATGTAATAGAATTCCAGTGTATTTTGTTTTAAAACATGCTTTGGAGAAGAGAGGCCAGGATGTTTTCAGAGCACTTTACTTTCACTAAGCACCATCAAGGCAGTGACTGTGCTACGGGAGCAGCTCACAGCTGATGCAGAAACTAAAGGGTCTGTCTGAGAAACATTCAAACTCTGTCCACTTTTTCACAATTTCCTACAGTGATGACTTCCTGAACATTAGTGAGTTCCCTCTTTTCCCCTTGGTTCCCCCATACACCGAGGTAAACTTATTAAACTTGGACTAGAAAAGCATGAGTTTGTTAGACCTGTCCTAGAATTAGCTCCTTCTGCAGTTCCAAGGCTGGTTCACTAGACTGTTCCTCCAGCCAGCATCTCTCTGGAAGAAAACATACCTGGTTTTCAGCTTTAATTGCTGATTGCAGATTATTCCAGTTATTTTCTATCCCTCCTGCTATGAACAGTTAAAAGGCAGTCTCAGTCTCAGCTTATGTGGTTCGTTACTTGACGAGTCCTCTTCAGATGCCTTCTTCGGATTTTGATCATCCACTTAACACTTAACTTAGCAAAGTCTGCTGCCTTAAACAGGGCCAAAAAGATACCACAAAGAAGAGCAATCATGTTCCAGGGATTTGCTGTGATAATCTGAAAGAGATGACAAATATTAGTCCCCTTATCTGCTTCCACATAGTGGAGAGGAGTGAGAGGTGTGAGAATGGGACTGGGCTCTAAAGGCCAAGGAGGAGCCTGGGTCCTGCAGGGACAGCAGGAGTGCAAAGGACCAACTCCTGTCCCACACAGTCTGCATTCACACTCTGGTTTTGGGCAAGAAAACACCAACACTCTAGATTTTGCTGCTGCTGGACCTTGGTTGTCAGCAGCAGCAAAAATGTCATCACATTTTATTCTAATGAATTTATTCTAATAATAGATTTAAAAACACACTAGGCCATTTTTATTCTAATTTCAGCCTATTCTAGGTTTCTTGTCAATTAATTAAAAAAAAAGTCAATAAACCAGATTATCCAGCAGACTTATTTAAGCAAACAGTTCAGCCCTGCCCGAAGCTGCCCTTTGCTAGAACACAGGGGGCCAGGTGCTTTTCTTAGCTATGTGGTACCTCTAGCTGCAAGCAGAATGCTGAGTGTCACCAGCCCAAGGAACAGCATCACATGCTCCTGACCTCCACACAGAATGCACTGCTGCACATAAGAAAGAGCCTACACTGAAATTTCAAAAGTATCCTCACTCTTCTCTCCATTTCTTCTTGGGGTGAGGTAACAGAGGCAAATGCAGGCACAGTCAGACAGTGATTGGAGAGGGGACTGGTGGGTTACTCACGTCCTGAACAGTCTGTATGAAAGGATCTTTCCATTCAAACACCACAAAGAACAGCTGGTCACTCCTTGGTTTAGTTCTCTGGTCAATGTAGTTAACCACACTGGTCTGGGGAGAGGGAAAGGAAAGTGCAGGTTACTTTCTTCAGCAGTACAATGAGGCTTTTGTGCAACAGAAAAAGGCCTGTAAGAAAGTGAAAATACCAGACTATTTAGGGACTTCCACCATAGCCTTTCTCTGCCTAGAACAATGGGCTGCCAAAATATGGCAAGGGCAGTTTCCTCCCTCTGTCTCACATTCGCATTGTCTTCCTATTTCTCACTCAGGATCACACTACAATACCATTTCTACATTGCCTCTCAAGAGGGGACAATTAATTTCCAAAATTCATTTACTTGCAGTAATACAACATTTGGAAAGCTCTCATGAATGAATGTTAAATTTGTTTTATTTGCCAGAGAACAACATAATGGTGGCAGGAAGATTCCTTCTTCTTGAAAAATGGGTTGTAGAATAAACTAGAACATTCCAGCAAGTGCAGAATGAACATGGAAGGAAAGAAGCCCAGGTATTAACAACCAAACCCATTAACTGGGTCACCACTTGAAACTAATGCTGCCCAGCAGAGAGCTGTAACACAATTCCAACAGGGAACTGGGTTAGGATACCAGACTATGTTACAGCCACATGAAGCCAGAGTCTCAAGAACCACAACCAGGACAATATTAGGACATCAGGCCCCAGGAAAACACTCGTATTGTACCACTTGCCCCCAGCCTGGGGGGAACTACACAGGGTTTGTACACAGTTTGAACTGCCCCCTGCTCCTAGGACACAACACAGACTGCCCAAGAGCCACACAGGGACCTCAGGAGAGCACAGTGGTGGAAGGACTTCTCCCTCCCCAGCCTCAAAGGAGTGTTTGCATCCTGGTGTGTTCAGAGGAGAGTACTGCTGCTCGTTCTGTTTCATTCTGTACTGAATGAAGCAATGAATCCAGCAGCACTGTGATTTTCTATCAGGGTTGTGACATAAAGATGAGGCAGACGATGGAAGAACATGCCTTTTCCATCTGTGAGCCCAGTTTTCCAGGCAGAGTTGGAAGTCTCTAAGCAGACCATTCTCTTCATCTCCTTACAAGCCTTCCCATTGCATGAGGGATGACCTGCTACAAAAGCCTGTGATCTACCATGGTGCAGTCTCTTAACAAATACCTCAGGGTTTCTCTCAGTCTTCTCCACAGCCCCAGCCCTGAACAGATTTTAGGCTGCAGGCAAGAAGAAGCAGGAGCTAGAACACTGTTCGTGGCCATTCACAGCATATGGAGCTTCCTCACCTCCTGGTGTCTGGTCAAACACCTTTGCTGCAGACTTATTTGTGAGGAATTTTGAATGAGTTACAGATGGGACCTCTGAGTTGCTTTAGATGATGCAATTTATTTTTCTTATCTTCTGCATAGGCAGGAGGGTCAGTTTGGCTCACATCTTTACCCCATGGCTCAGAAGGTCACAAGACCTCTGGTTACAAGACCTTTCAAGGATTTATTAACCAATAAAACACTGCCAACAAGGATATTTATGTTTTTCATCCAATCCTTAAATATTTCCATCTTATGGACTCATACTACAGTGTAAGCTTTCTTAGCCAGTCATGTTATGACATACAAACCTACAGTACTCTACTCTAAAACTCTAAATTTTCCTCTATTTAGCATAACATGTCTCTGCTTTAAACTATAAATCCACATTGTTGTTCTAACACCTAAGTTTGGAAGCCTTTTCCAAGGTCTCAGATGAAATCCTGTGTTTAATTCTAAGCTTTGGCTTACAGGCCCAAAGCTGTGACAATTCCCTGCATTTCAGATTCCAACACTTGCCCCACACTTCCACAGCTGATTTCCTTATTGCAGGGTACCAATGCCCCAGCCACACTCAGCCAAGAAAACTGCACACCAGGAAGCAAACAGTACACAAGGCAAAACAAAGACAATGGGAAAGGAAGAAAATATAAATTAATGACTGCTGGGCTAGTTAGCTAGAGTGACTGTTCTGTTTGACCTAGTATTTGTATCCATCTTTCCAGTATGCCAGCTCCCAGGTTTGGATTTGAAAGGCTAATGGACTTCCTGGTGCAATTTGAGCAGATGTTGTACTGTCAAACAAAGCAAGTGCAAATTATGTCTGAGCTGTTTCAATTTCTGCTGTATTATTAATAGGGATCTGATTCCTGGTTTCTAGGTTTTATTAAAAACAAACAAACCCACAAAGCAAAGAGAAAACCCAAACCACCAACAGTGTTCACTTACTCAGATGATCAGTCCATAACTGCTGAACTAAATAGAGTTTATGGTCACAAAAAGCTCTTTTTTCCCTGAATTTGAGCCAGCCTTTTGTTTCCACTTTGAGACATGTTAGACTTGGGCACACAAAGGAAGACTTTCAAAAATCCTGTACTTGGTAAGCACCAAATGGCAAATGATACAGAGCTGTAGGTGATGAAGGACAGACAGATGGCTGCTGTCAGTGCTTACATGGCAGCAGCAGACTGATGCATTCTTTCCTCTCCTCCAAACCAAGTTATTAACTTGGGACTTGCATGACTCTGGGGTTTGCCTCCTGCCCTTCTCTAGTGGAGTAGGAGTGTATCCCTCTCACAGTCACAGCTCTGGGCTACCCCTAAGGCTGTACCATGTAACACCAAACTGTGAGAACTAAGGATAGAACTGAAGATTCTGCTTCATTTTGCTCTCCCCAGAACACTCTTTCCAAGAGAACCAAGGACCAAGAGAAAGTATAATCTCTGAAAGAGACACCCTCTAGAAAGGACAGTTCTTAGAATTTTCATTTCTCACCACTGGTGAGACACTTCCTTTCCAACCAACAATGGAAGCAAAACAAACTCAAAACATAATTATTTTCCCTTGAATTAATTGAACAGAACAGGAATGAAAGTCAGGCTCCTTTCCTGTCTAGATAAGCTTGCATCTTCCACCTGCATATTTTCTAGTTTTAAATGATGCAATAAGTTATTCCATGCTTCTAAGGACATTCAACAGCTAAAAATTCCAAACCCAAACAAAAAACAGACATAAGAATGCTACAAAGGATACAAGGCTTACATTTACCTCTTCATCCTAACATCGGTGGCAACCTAAACAATAGCTCTTTCCAACAGTAGCTGTTATTTAGACAATTCCTTTGGCAATTGTTTTCCACCTTGAACTGTAGCTGTGTTAATATTTCTGTGTCAGTCTCTTGGGACTCTTACCTCAGACTACAGGTGTCATAACCCACGTGAGGCCTGGATTTCTGGCCTCCTGTTAGGAGATGTTTTCCTGAGCTCTCACAAGGCCATACCAACAGCTGAGCACATCAAAACATTTACACTTCTACAGAATCTCTCCTTCTTCAGAAACAGTTTGAGCAACTAGAGCCAAAACTGCCAGTGCAAAGTGGCATCATGTATGCAGTGAAACAAAACCAAACTCCCAAAACATTATCAATACTACTTTTTTTTTTTTTTTTTTTTTTTTTACCTCTTGTTTGAATTCAACAGTCTCGCTACCATCTTCTTCTTTTGTTTTGACCAAGGACATCTTGACCCAAGTTCGGAAGCCTCCAGAAAACTTCCAGCTGGAGTATGAGCTTTCACAGTCCTTCATGAATTTTGCTTTTTCTGGACTAAAGGGAAAAAAAATCATTACTTTATTTACCAAACTGAGCACTGTAGGCAGAAGGTCAGACCTAGGCACTTCAATCTTTGTTCCCAATTCCTTTTATTCTCCACCTGCTAAACTCAACACATCTAAAGCATTGTGTGTAGTGATGTTTTCATTAATGGTAGCACTTCACTGGTGCATCCTTAACTGCAGAGGACTTACCTGGTGCCCTACAACCCTGGAGGTGCCTGTAGGGATTGTTCTGCCTCACAGGGAGTGTGGCTCTGCTCATCTGTCATCTCTGGGACAGAAAGGAGCAGAGCCAGGACCTCAGGAAACAACTCATCACCATGCTGGGAAGCAAGAGACAGCAGGAAGAGCCTAGAGGAAGGACAGGGTGCTTCACCTCATTTCTGGTTGCCAAATAAACCAGTTGCAATGCATACATGCTTAAAATGCCTTGAAATTGAAATTCAGTAAAATCCTATTATTTTGGAAGCACTGAAGCTTTGGTGTAAGGCTCCCACCTGCAAGAATTGTTATCCCAATATGCAGCCATAGCTATCTGCAGCCCCCAAAACAGTGGGATTGCATCTTTAAGGCTTTAAAGATGATAAATCTTTAAGGCTCCCAGCACCCCTCATGCTGCAAGTAGGAAAGGGGTAGCTTTAAGGCATATCTGGTCTCCATCTCTTCTCTACCAGCTGCACGGGACATAGTGAATTAACCATGTTATTTGCTTGAGCTCTTCAGTACTGTGATTTTAGCCATTTTCATGTCATCCCTGTGAAATAAGCCCAGCCCTGCAGCTGCTTTTCCAATAAGGTTTAATTTGAGAAGAAGGGGTAAACCACAGTGAGAAGTCAGGCATCATTAAAGGCTATTTTACTAAGACAGATTTCAGGTTGTAGAGATATGACAGGGTATGTTAGTCCTTAAAAGAAGGGAGAAGGTTTTGATCCAGACTAAATCCATCTACCTAGGAGAAGGGAAAGAGCATTCTTTGCTTTTATGGCAGAGGATGTGCATAACCAGGTCTTTCAGGAGATGAAGGTGTTTTCATCTTTCAGGAGAAAAATGCAAAGAAGTAAAGAAGAAAAGCAGAGGTGAAGAAGCAAGCTCTTGTCCCAGAACAGGCCAATCAGGAAGATTTGTCCAGCACTGACCAGATTTGCACTTTTCCTGTCTTTTTTATTTAGTTTTCAAACTCGGGGCTTCTCTTCTTTCTACAAACCAAGGTGCCTTGTCTACAAGGACCAAAAGGACTGCATTGATATAAATATCAAATTGATGGCTACTCTGGAGCACACCACCTGCTCAGGCTTAATAGCTGAATACACACGTGTGCACAGGAGGGCAAAACCCAGCAAAGCCATTCTCTCAAGTCAGGGCTTCAGGCAGTGGCCTCAAACACAAAATCCCACTGTGCATGTGCACAGAAAAGAGAAGGGTTTCTGGAAAGAAAAACTAACATGCTTTGCTACCTATCCAGGCAGTTGCTGTTCCCAGGGTGTCCTGGGAAGTTAGGAATATCTTTACTTTGACATGAGCTGCTTGTTTAGTGACCCCAGGATGGCACCCACAGGAAAGATGTGGGCAAAGCCTAAGGACAAAGCCCACAGCCTGCCTGCTCCTCACCAGAGCAAACCAGGGACACAGGAACACCCAATCCAACAACTGCTTCCCCTCCTGGGCTGTGGGCAGAGAGCAGCTGAGGGGATGGCACAGGGGAGCGCTGCAATGCTTTGCACTCAAGAGGAACATACATAATTAGCACTCTGCCAGCCAGTCAGATGCCTAATGGCTGGCTAAATACAGCATCCCAGAAAAGCTTTCCAAGCCAACATGGAAAAATGAGGCAGGAAATTATGACACAGCTACAGCCACAACTTCCATGGTAGGCAGACAGCAGCAGTATGCTTTGCCTTCGACAGCAATTGCAGGATGGAAAAAGGAGGATTAATAATATCTTAGGAGAAGCTGTGGAGAAGTGATCTGAGAGGCATCTCCATAATCCAGACCACTGCCACAGAATGAGGGGAAAAAAAGGGGGTTGGACAGGAGGAGTACAGCACAGAGGCACAAGCTTTGCACAAATTATAGCAGAGGGCAAATAACACAGCTTTAAAACCACACACAACCAAGTGAACACAAGACAGGAAAGGGATTTTCAGCAGAAAACAGTTCTCCAGGCAATTTCTTTTAATTCCCTCTTCACACCAAAGACAGACAACCTACACAGGCTACACCTCTTTTTTTTTTTTTTTTTTTTGTTGCTGTTTGGGGTTTTTTTCCTTTTTTTCTTTCTCTTTTATTTTTGTCTGTGGGAGTCACTAACCTATTTCTGGACTGGGCTGTAGTGCTGCAGCGGATCCTTTACCACCATGGACCACCCCACGAGAGCCAGAGAAGTTCAGGACAGAACACCAGCAGATTCCAATGCAGCAGCAAGAGCCAAACCCACTGATGGTTCAAGTCCAATCTGTGTTTATTGCTTTTGTGTTTCCCCAGAGCAAGAAACTCTCAAACAGCCGTGGCATCTAATAAAGGTTGGTATGGTAGCAAAAGTCTCAATCCTTCTATGTTGTATTTCTCTGCATGCAGCAATCCAGATCAGAGACATGAACATGGGGCTCTGTTTAGACCCTGAAATAATCTCTGATCTGTTCTCACTGGTATCCATCATTTCACAGGACCATTAGTTATTCGACATGCTACACTAACAATCGTTTTGTCAGGAATATATTCAGAGGATTTTCTTCTAAACCCCACGTATTATCCTAATGACAGTTCAGGGGAGGAACTTGTATTTCCAGCCATACATTTTGGGTAATTTGCTAGGGTTTCATTATTTTCCCCCCTCCAATTAATACGGTACAGACAGCAGCTGCCACTATCTTAAAAAAAAAAAAAGAAAAAACCAGCAGCATCTCCCTCCAGCTCAGAGGCCAACAACAGCACACAGTGCAGCAGTGTTCTGTGGAGACCAGAACAAAACCAGTGAGCAGTGCCAGTTTCATGGAGTCTGATCCAATTTTAACAGAAGGGCTGCAGAGAATAAAGCCCTTGACAGAAACAACTGGACTTTGCTCGAGTCCTCAGCACTTACTGTACCACAGAAAATCTCTTAAAGGTACAAGTCTTTAGATGCCATTTTTTTATTGCTTGTGGCACCTCTGATAACACTACATGAACTGCTGGGCACAGTGTTATTCTGGGCCCTCATAACCAGTGAGACACTTTGTCAGGAAAAGTAGTTAACAGAGGCCAGTGATTGAAGTTTTCAGAGGCTGTATGGAAGGACACACAAGAGTTTCTACAGATATCTTATGCCAGACTTCCCATCAGCTAAATTTAGCATCTGCTGATGAACAAAAAATCATTTCTATTTTTCTTCTACTGGAAGCTGGACAGAATGAATGCTCTCCATATACACAATGCAGTTTCACATGCACTTTCCATAGTCAGGAGAAATGTAAACTCCCCACCGGCCCTGAGCCCAGCCAGTTCATGCCAGGACAGCAAACACAGCACTGAGCAAGACAAGGCACACCATGTGTATTAAGTTTGGAGGATGCTGCAGAAAAGACATGACTGGCCTCCTGCCCACAGCTGGTTCCTTTCCTGCATTCCATCTAGACATGCAGATCATTTAGCACTACGGCCTTCATCCCCTTGCCCATGTTACCATTCACCTGGGTTAGTTCAAAACCAGTTTTAACTCCTAATACCTGCCTCAAGCAAGCACAGAGGATGCATCCCCAGACAAACTGAGCACAGACTGAGCTGTTCATGCTGCCCCCAGCCAGGTACAGCACCAGGGCTGGTCCCAGGCAGTGCTGGTGTCTGGCAGTACAGAAAGAGCTGAGCACCTTGCTGCAAATGGTCCCACTGTAACATTTCTTACCAGAGCACAAGCCATAAAAATCCCAACATAAGGAACAAGCAGCACCTTCTACACCACTACTCTTAACTGGTGTTCTCTCACCCTAAAATATGACTGCCTAAAACTCCCAGAACATTAGCATTTTATGAGGTGTTTCAGTGCAGTTACAGAAAACAGTTAAAGACTTAGCATGCCTTCAGTGAAGCAGAAATGCTTTGTAAAAGGCAAATCCAGCTAATTGGTCTTTGGCCACCCAGAGGTATCATGTCTGAACACTTCAGTCTTTGATCCATCTGAAAAACATCAGTATGACCATGTCCAAGACTCTGAGAAGGCCTTGCTACGATAAAATCTGTTCTCTTCCCTCCTTCACCTAATTTTGTTCTGCATGGGTTCTCTATCCCCTGTCCCTTTTCCACTGAGCATCTATTATCAAATTAAGGTTTTCTATCAGGTGTCACTATGACAAATATTTATTGGCTAACTTTTAACCTGGATCTCAGAGAGAGTAACAGAATTTGAATTTAAATTTAAGCAAAAATTAAACCGTAAAATATGAAATTTATTCTCAAAAAGTGGAAAAAGAGTGGGTCTTTCAAGAAGGTTCAAGACAAGATTAGTTCCATTCTTGATAAAATTAGAAGGTTGATTAGATACTCCAATGATACCAATGTCAAACTAATAAAAAGCAATTTCAAAAATGAATTTACATCATTCTGCAGAATCTTAAATATAGCCAGTAATACAAAGAAACAGAGTTAATCTTTCAATGAAAACACAACAAAGCAATCTAGGGATCTGACCTTTACAGCAATTGCTTTAAAAACCCCCAAATGGCACAGAAATATTTGTGTTCTTGGTGCACTTCCTGACACACTACCCAGCACAGCACGCTTCCTGAGCACCCACAGCAGCAGACAGCAGGAAGCCAGCACAAACTCCAAGCTTTTAGAAAGTGCAGCAACAAATGGTTTAAGCACAGCTGAAGAATAGTTTTTGTCACTGAAAAAGCCCTCAATACATTTTTTAAAGGTCAGATTAGTAAACAAAGACATTAAAGAGCATCAACGTGCTCCAAACATTTTTTAAAAATCATCAAAGCCTGCCTGGATTTTTCTGAAAAAGCCCTGTTTTCACAAGTATTGTGACAGCAAGTTCAGTGCAGCCATAGGCTCATCCCCCCTTCACATACCTGCTGACAAACTCTTGGAAGGAAGAGAACAGCAGGTAGTCAATGGCACTAAAATCTTGGTCTGTTTCATTTAAATAGAACTGCAAAAACACCAGTTCCCTTTTCTTCACATCACGAGGGCCTTGAACAACCAAAGCATACTTCTGTAAGCAAACAGAGATGGTGAGAGGAGCAAAGGAATCCTCATTTCCTGTTCATTAATTTGCCATCTGGCAATAATACTCTGTAGAAATCTAACACACACACACAGTTTCTTAGCTGCTACTAAGTACACATCTATTAAAATACCAAACAAGAATGCCACTTCAGTCCCTCCTGTTAGTTTATAAAGGAGATCTTTACATCAAGATTCAGTGTTTAAACATTAATATTTAAGTATTAGATCTGATCATTTGTGGGTTTTGGACATTTGTTTACACAGAAGCTTCCCTGCACTTCTAAAGGCAGTTTAAGTCAGACTATCACTCTTCAGTGTACCCATCCTGCTGGCTCAAAGCATTTCAGTGCAATGAAACACTTGGTGCCCATTTAAGATTCTTCCAAGTGTGACAAACATGATATGTAATTCCCAGCAGGAATTAATGCATGAATTCCCAGCACGCATAAAAAGAGAGATTAGCTATCCTCCTTTAATGGATACTGATACTGCTTTCAATCAAAGCTAGGTTTGCAATATCAAGGAAAATGCTTCCCAGTTCATTTAGGAGAAGAATGAAGTGAGAGCTTTACTGTGAAAAATTACTTATTTTATCCCATTAAGGGTTTTGTGCTGCACACACCCACAGGACAGCTGATCTTCCATAACAGATATATAACCTGGCTGGGGTCTTTTACATTTCTGAAAACAAAATGACCGATGGCATACAAAAAATCCAAACTAGAAACAAGGATTTTTTTTACAGCACGTAGTATACACTTTTACTTTCCAACAAGATTATGAGCAGGAACCCCACAGTGAATAAGCTTTGTTTAATATAATTTTATTACCATAGTTTGATTAGTAAAAGGATCTGTGTAGTTGATCCTCTGAGTGTTGCATTCAATGTCTCCTGGCTGACCTGGATTTATCAGAGGTGGAATGTGATCGTAGTAATGATGTTTGCAGCTAAGCAGCTGTGCCTTGCCTGGGTAAAAGGCAATACCTGTTTGGGGAGAAAAAACATTGGAGAGCGCTGATTTCGTTCCTGAGGACATAGATTTTCATTCTGGAATTAATCCCACGGGATACTGAGCTATCTTTAAGACGCCACAAAACAATCAAATTAAACCATGCACTTCCACATTTTTCTGGAGCAGGACAAAAACATCAACTGCATCAGGACAGAACTCCCACAATGCATTGAAAAAAATCAGGGTTCATATTCTGTTACAACAGTTCAAGGTTCATAGAAGCTACCAAGTTTCCCTAGTCTTCCCACAAGCCAGCAGCTAATCCATCAGTCCCTCTCAACCCCAGATAAATCTGTAAAATATGTTAGGGGTCATCAAATGGGACATGTAGTGCTTTAGTTTTCAGATATTAGCATTTAACACATCAAGTGTTAATTGGAAAAGATGTACATACAATGCACGACAGATCAAAGATCACTGGCTGAGCTAACATAAATGAAAAGATGCTCTTCAGAATACAGCATCTTCTGTTAACTGAATGTGACACCATCATAAAAATCAAAGCCATCAAACATGCACTAACTGCTACCATCCCTTATTATTTGCAGCACTGGGTAGGGCAGACAACTACTCCACCTGGATGGAAACCCACATATGCCATAAACCTCCTGTTTCAGTCCTACAGCACATTCAAGCAACCTCAGCCACCTCAGCTTTGGAAGGCTAGCAAAATACAAGAGCCAAACCTCAAAATCCTTTTACACCACCTATGCCATTTTTATTATTTGAAACAAGTTTGTTGGAGGACAATCTAGTCCAACTTAAAAAAAAAAAAAAAGAGCATGATTGATTAAATATAATTAACTCACAACTGAGATGATCTGCCCACCAAAATGTGAGATGTCAAAGCACTCAGCATATATCAAATGCTTTATTCCTTCCTTCAGAGCTCCATGCTTGCAATGTGCTATCTCATCATTTTAACAGAGCAATAAAATAAAGGACTACATTGATTTAGGTTCTCTGATCTCCAGAGATCTCCAGCAATACTTTTGGATTTATATGTATGCTGCTCTGCTTATTTAAAATCTGCTTAATTTCTTCCTGTTACTGGATGTAAAGCTCACCTGGAGTTTGCTTTCTCTTAAAGTCAGATACATACGGTCCAAATATAAGGCACTACTTCCAGAGCGGGGCTAACTGGCCATAGAGAAAAACAACTACAGTAATATGGCAACGACTCAAAACACCTTTCAGCCACAACTGCTGAAGTGGGTATTTGGAAAATGTGGTAACACTTCAGACAGAAGTGTTATTATTAAACTGGAAACTCACTGATGACTGACTGAGCTGCATTTGCTACCATGGCTCTACTTAAGAATGGCTACTAGACAATTAAAAAGAATAATAACAACAGAACTCACTATTCAAAAATGCTCCTGTGGAGCAATTCCTCCTGCAAACTGCAACAGTTTCTGCTGCCACGCTGCATTTTTGTGCCAACATTGCTCCCTGCAGTCACATCATATTTTCATTGCCTACTGATGTAATGCCATGTTGTAAACAAGGCAGGGTGGAAGTAGAAAGTGGCATTGTGGTTATTTTGTGGTTGGTTTGAGAAATTCACCTTCTTTACTGTGAATGGCATCTCAGTGCCCAGTGCAGCACCGAGCTCCTGATACACATGCTGTGTGCTACTCTGTTTGAATGATACAGATTGGGGAATATCTCCAAAAGGAATTATCTTTCTCCTCTAAAAGAAGACTCATTTTAGAGTCTGAAAACACTTCTCATCTATGAAATGTTGCATAATTCTCCACAGCTTCTGCCATTCATGTTCTTGGCACGAAAGCTTCCAAAAATCTCCTGTACAATTTAACATTTCTGTGCAAAGTCAATACAACTTTTTAACCTAAACTGAGGAAATGAAAGACCTGGGTCAAGTATTATATGCACTCTGGGCTCTGAAGAATGAACACCAAAAATTTAAAACAATCCAAGAAAAACGTGAACAAGAATTTAACCCATTTTACTTGTTACCACTCTTACCAGGTGGATCATACAAGGACACTTCCTTGTAAGTGACAGACATCACTGGGTGCTTGAGCTTCTCCCTGAAGTCACTGATGGTTTGGTAGACAAGGAACACAGCTACAGCCATGAGCAGCAGATAAATAAACAGGAGAATTACTGAAAAAACATTCTTTAGGCAGGTCTTGCTGAAACGCAAAGAAGGGGTAGTGGTACCCAGCTCACCATCTGGAACCAAACAGAATATGGATTGGGACTTTAACATACAGATATTTGTGCTGAATTTTCATTTAAAGATCAATCACGTGAGAGGAAAGTAAGCCTCAAACTCAGCTTGATTTTAAAAACCGCAGCTAATTATAGGCAGGCAGATACTTCCTTTCAAGTATGAGGTGTAATCAACCTAAGATTGTGCCTCCTTTTCACATGCCAGAATTTGGCACTCTGCTTAAGGCCACTGCAGGCAGGAAACATGGCTTATTTTCAAGGACAACTGAGAAACAAAGTATAAAGTTCACAAGAAAGTCTGCTCATGGTCAGTGTTTGCTTCTGGAAAAAAACAACTCCTTTTCCTCCATTTCCAATCTGAAGTGATTCTTACACACACTCAGCATAGACATCAGTGGAGTGATTTAATATTCTAATGCTATGCATTGCATCTCCACCATGGTAGAAATTACTAGATATTTGTTACTCTCTAGTTCATAATTCCTTGTGCATGTTAAAAGCTGTCACAGAAGGATTCTTCCAATTACAGCTAGAAAGAGATTGACCCAATTCTCCCAGAGACTCTTTTCCTTCAAATCTTGTTCTCTTTAGATCTTCACAGTAGTCTCACCCACACAGACACTGCTTTCCCCATACCCCTTGCCTTTGCCATTTCTTTTGGTAGTATTTCTAAGGAAAAGGTTCCTGTACTCTTGACTTCTACATCATGTTTTGTCATGAACGATATACAGCTGATCACACAAAATTTGATGTTAAAACTCAATGCAAGGAAGGAGATAAGCAGCCATGCTTCCTGCTGACTGTTCTTGTGGTGTCATTAAATGAGTCAGCCCCTCTCAGGCCATGCCTCATACTGCTCTCCAACTCTATGGTTTGGTGTTTGTGCCTTCCTACAGCAAACAGGAGCCTTTTAGTGAACCCTACTGCACACAAAACCACTTACAAATGTCCACGGGCATGTTACATGCCAGGAGATGGCAGCCAAGGCAATTAGGACATTAATATGCATAAAATTGCACTGCTGAAACAAACATGTCTTGGACAGCTGCAAGGCATTTAGGCCATGCTCCTGTCAGGCTGGCTAAGCTCAGTGCCCACACCTGAGCTGCAATAAGCCCATTTAACACCTCTCCATGCCCTCCAAAAGCAACCTGAACAAAGATCTATTCTAATTAAAGATCTATTCTAAACCATCTATTCAAAAGTGCATCTTGCTCATGTAAATCTGGCACAGACTCTGCCTACAACCCGCTGCCTCTCAGGTGAGACACAACATAAAGGAAGATGACATCCTAAGCTATCTTAAGAGCCAGATGTGCTGAACCTGTTTTGATTGAGCACAGTTCCTGACAAAGAAATATTCTTCTATCAGTCCTTGGATAACCTCCTTGGTTTTCCATCAGTACTGATTCACATAAAATAAGTAAGGGAATTAAGTAGTGAAACTAGCATTTTGTTTACTTTCAGAAGTGCAATAAAATAGCAACAACAAAACCACACACACAACAGCAGCTAACAGGCTCTAACAATCAGCAATTTTTGGGTCAATAGTTCTTACCTCGTAAAATAACAGAGCTGGAATCTTCATGAACTTCCATATCTCCTTCTCTCTCCTCTGCTGGATTTTCAGATACTCGCTCCACATCTTCACTCAGCTGTGTAGTTAAAACAGTGGTTCAATTTCCAAACATGCTCTCAACTTGCAATTGCTGGAATTTCTATGGTACAAATAAAAGAGGCTCCAACTAACCAAACACACAAAAACACACCCCCAGTCCAAGAGCATCCAACATCTGTTCCACTTGTTCACAAGACAAAAGCCACATTTCTGTAGACTTAAGAGCCACAAATTAAGTGACTTGCATGCTACAAATTTAACCTACTTCTACCCTGCTGCTTCAACAATAACATCACCTTCCCATTCTAGTTCAAAGTAATTGTTTCCCCAGCAGCTCCAACACTCTTTAACCCCACAATTAGGACAGTGATCTCTGACAAGCAGGAACTTCATTCTGTCACTGGAAAATATATTTTTAGGCATAAAGAAACCACAGCACATACCAGCAAACAGAGCATTAGCACTTCTTAATAAAGAGGTACAAAAAGCACGAGATGCATTTTGACAGGTGTTAAGGCAAGGCACTGAAACACAGTCTCAGCCACAGGTCGCTGGGTCATTATGAGACAACAGTCAAGCATCTCTATATTTCTGCTCCTTATTTGATCTCACTGTGCAGATTATTATATATTAGTGGTTATGCAACTAATTAGTCTTCCAGTGTTTCTGAAACACCAACAGAGACCAGATGTTTTCTTGTTTTGCTATTCAGAGCTCTGGGCTCAAACTGCCAGGCCACCTCCCTCAGAGTCAGAAGCTTGTCACAGCAGATATGCATCACATAACATTGTGAAGCACTACAGATTTTATACATTATAAATAGAAAGTATCTCTTGTATGTTTTCCTTTCTTTTGCGGTGGGAACTGACACAGAGATTACAACAATGCAAACCACAGCGTGAGCTTGCAGCACATCACATTAGCCTTGTTCCTGTTTCAAGGAAAACGGGGGCACAGTTAATGCTGCAGCTGCACTGAATGCTATTAAACTCTATTAAACACTACACCCCTAACTTACACAACAGAAACATGCATGTATCCATAAGGGAGTGCTTTTATTTCACCCAACTTTAATTCAGTACTGAAATCATCATTATGCCATTACCAAATCATCACTAGCACCTATTAGGAAAGAGTCCACTCATTTTACGTCTTCAAAGTCTCCTTCACCTCCTGCTGTATTTCTGTATTAATTTCCATCACACAAAGCAAAATGAAAGCAGTTTCCCAGCTGTTTTTAAATGCTAAGTACATAAATAAAGCATGATCTCCCATAGATGAGGCAAGAAGTGAAGAGATAAGTTGTAGGCTAAAAACTCAGCTCATATGCAAGACTCTCACTGGGGTCCAACTGAAGGTACCTTTTTCAATTATCACCATAAAATAAGAGAAAATTAAAAGTCTGTTCCTTGTTGTAGAAACATGCTGGTTTTGTTTATCTGACCCAAAATAAGCTACTCTGACCCAGAAAAAAGCCCACTGAACCTCTTGTACTAAATCAGCTAAGAAACCAGTTCCAATCATACTCATGCAAATTGCTGATACCAGAGCTGATCCAACAAATGTAATGGAAGTGACAAATGACTCCCACATCTCTGATTCCCCAGCTACAGGCACCTCATTGACTGAGGTTATTGGGAGGGTAAATGAATTCTATTCCTGATGGTAAGGAGACCCCAACACAAGTCTAAAAAAGAACAAAATAAGCAACATTTCTTATCCTCTCAAGAGGACCTACAGCATTTTTTTTCAACAAGTGGAAGAAAACTTATCTTAGACGTAATTCCAAATCTAAATGATTGTGTGTTAAGCTCAGAAAACACAACATTTCAGCAGTCCTTAGAAACAAACCTAAAAAATCCCAAACAACATGCAACTATGTTTTCTTATCACTGTTCACAATGTTTCACAAGCTTTTAACAGACAAAGCCAGAGAAGGACAGCCAGGCAAGAGCAGGACTACTAACATTTCTTCAGATGCAGTAAGCAGGTTGAGCTGATGTGTAAGACCCACTCCCTAAAAATAACTTTATTTTACTGCACATCCTCAACACCTGAACTGAGGTCACCAAGATCCCAGCACTGTGCATGGCTCAGCCACTGTGTTCTGAGCAGCACACAGCACCTTGACTCTATAAGGCAGGGCAGCACAGACCTACAATCCAACACCTCACACACACCCTGCTACAGCCTCCCAGTGACTGGGAAGCCAGCACAGGACACTGCAGGACAGCTGATTCCAGTTCACACTTGCCACTCAGCTTGGATTCAGGGGTTCTGCCAACCAGGTTCCTCCTCACAGGCCAGCCTTCCCATGTGGTATTTCTGATACAGGGTGAAGTGTGGTGCCAACCAGAAGGAACACAGATTGCAGGGTGGTTGAGCTTGCAGTAGGATGCAGAGACAGGATCTCAAGGGCAGGAAGGGCATGAAGCAGAACTTCACTCAGCATTCCTCTGGGTTCAGCACATACAGCTGCGGGAGAAACAACTGCAGGAACCTGCCCATATCCCAGCAGCTTTTTTCAGTCCTGCACACAGAAAATCACTGGACAAAAAGAAGCTCAGAAACGGCAATCCCAGCCATTTGAGCATTCCTGCCAGGGGCAGAAGCAACAGACTGCTGCAGGTGCTGGAGAGAAGGAATGGACACACAGGTGCTGCACTTACACACACATACCCTATCTTGATTCGTGCCACAGTTTGGGATAAACCCAAACATATGGAGCAGTGTCAGTGGTGGCTGATACTTAAGGTGGAACATAACATGCATAGTCCATGTCCACACTTCAGTCATCAATGCAGATTCATTAACTCTCACAAGTACCTTCCCTAGGTACAAGCACACAAGACAACCTTATCTTGATAGTCATGGGCTAAATCCTTCCTACTGGATAAAACTCCCTTAAATAAAAGGAGAACTTGCTCATACAGGCCTTTTGCTGATCCGCTGATTCATCACCTTCCAATGCCTTCTAGCCTGGCAAGAAAACCAGAAGCTGAAACTAAACAGACTGTACCACACTAAATTAGAATGTATTAAAAGTGAGCCTCAAACTACCCGTCACGTGTAGAGGAAGGAAAAGATCTACATTCCTTTTGCCTGCAAGATACAAACAAAAGCGCTCTGCTGTAAGTCTCCAGCGCTGCTGAACTTGGCACGAATTGCTTGTGTGTCTATTAGGAGAGATAGGAAGGAGCAAGGCAGCCGGGCTGCCGAGCCTGTACATTGATATGCAAACCAGGCGCTGCTTGGGCTTTTGGCAGCGCGATAAAGCGTCCTTCAGTTTGGGATGCGGCAGCTCTGCTACCCAAGCCGCTCTCACAGCCGACAGACCATCCATCCCCTCGCTACCAAACCCCGGTACAGAGCCCGGCCGTGCCCGCCCCACACACCCGAACAGCCGCTCCCACGCGTGTAACCCCGCTGAGAGGCAAACCCGGACCGGGCTCAGGGCGGCAGCGCCGGCTGGCCCCGCTCGCCGAGCGGCCCCCGCGCCCGGCCACCCCCCCAGCCGCGCCCGGCCCCCGGCACCTCCTGGTAGGATGCGGACACCTCTGGATTTGGCATAGCATCGGCGGGAGCAGCGCCGCGGGGCTGGGCAGCGCCCGCCGGCACCGCACGGCGCGGGGCAGCCACTGGCCGGGCCGAGCCGAGCCGGGCCGAGCCGCCCCGCCCGGGCCGGGCCACGCAGGCGCCGCCGGGACCCCCGGGCCGCCCCGGCCGGCCCTTCCCGTCCCCGGGCGGTGCCCGCCCCTCGCCGGGGCTGCCGGGAGGCGTAGTCCGGGCAGGGCGCTGCGCTCCGGCTGCTCCGCACACGCCTGAGGGGAGGTTTGCAGAACGTCTCTCCCTCCTGAGGGGCGCTGACGGGGAGATGAGGCTCTCCTCCTTCACAACGCAAACTCTGCTAACACAAGCATGAGCCAGGCTTGGAAAGCCGGCTCCCCCGCGAGCTGCACAAAATACTCCCCTTTTAATTTTTTTAAAATTTTTATTTTATTTTATTTTGCTCAAGGCTGTTATCGAGCACCAGAACACCAGGCGTGCTTGACCAGCAGACAGGACTCCTGCAGAACTCCTGGGGTGACCCACCCATGCTGTGCCCGCAGCAATGGGGCACTGCAGGAAAATAAAAGCCAAAACCACGTAAGGGCTGATTCATGAGCCACATGGCCACAAATACCTACACAGCTATTTTTTTTTTCCTTCCCCAGCGTGGAAGTAATTGTTAATGTTGCATCATCAAGAAAAAGCACGTGAAACATTTTTTTGCATTGAGATGCAACACTGTAAGGGAGTCTCTGCTGAGTACATCATTCCCCTCTGCCTAAGGCCCACACCTAGCAAGTTAATTACCAAGATTTTAAGTCCTTTGACAATAACAATCCTATTATACATTTGAATTACAGCACTGTAGTCAGGAAGAGTTGATGCTGCAGGATCAAACATCCAGGCTTTAATTCCTTCAGATCCTCACTTGACAGTGCTGCAGTGAGGGATGTGATAGACGTATCTGAACTGCAAAAATATTCTAATACTCTTGATTCTACATAGAATGATACCAAGCTTATTTTTCTACCAGTCCTGCATGTTCCCCTGTGCCTTATTTATAGCATAGGGAAAACTATAATCTGAAAATTATAGTTTAAATTTCTGTTTAAACTGTCTGTTCCTAGGCTAAAAATGTCTGTGTTTTTTTGTCACAAAGATGAAGCCTGCAGCATGTGCGCTAATTTTGTGAATAACCATTGAAAACAGCTAGCAGAGAAACTTCAAGAGGGAAAGAAGGAGGAAAATTAAGAAATCTTTTATTATTAGGTGTCTGTTAGGGTGCCAAGTCCACCTCTTTAGCACGTCCTTAGGTGCCACATCCACGGCTCTTTTAGATACCTCCAGCGATGGTGACTCCACTGCCCGGAGCAGCCTGTTCCGGTGCTTTTCTGTGGAGAAGCTTTCCCGAATATCCAGTCTAAACCTCCTTGGCACACCTGAGGCTATTTCCCTTTGTCCTATCGATTGCTACCCGTGAGCAGCGGCAGACCCGCGCTTGGCCGCAGTGGTGGAGAGCCATAACTCTCCCCAAGCGCCTTCTCCGCAGCCTCAGCCCTGCCGTGCCCTCAGCGCTGTTCCCGCCGCGCTCTCCGCTCCTTTAACCGCGGTCCCGCCCCGCTGCCGCCCGGGGGCGGTGCGCGCTGCGCGGCATGGCGGGCGCTGCGGCCCGGGGCCCGCGGCTCCTGCCGCTCCTGCTCCTGCCCCTGCTACTTCTCCTGCCCCTGCTCCTGCTGCTGCCGCCGGCCGCCAGCACACAGCCCGAGCTGCGCTTCAGGCCGCCGGCCGAGGCCCCCGTGCGGCTCTTCACCGAGCCCGAGCTGGCCAGATACGACGGGCAGCAGGTAGGGCCGGGCCGGGCCCTCACAGCCCCGGCGCTCCGGAGCCGCCGCGGAGCTCGGGTTTGTGAGAGGTTTGCCGGCAACCGTGTGCTCCAGCCTCTCCCCGCAGTGCCGGGGCTGCCACACACCATTAAACAATTGGGTGCCGTGTGCCCGTTCTGCTCGCTCCCTGCTTGGCAGGGTGCTCCCGACAGAGAATTTCAGATTACCACAACTTGGAGCCAAAGTTAATTTTCTCTCAGTAATTCATTAAACCGTGTACTTAGACTTTAAAAAAAAAAAAAAAAAGAAAAACCAAAACCAAAAAAACACAACAACCCACCAAGATTATCAAAATAACAAGACAGTGTTAACTTAGGAGTGTTTAGCTTCCTGTGATTCAGAAGGCTCAGCAGAGCTCCAGATTAAAAATTATAAAGTCCTGTATCCATACACATCTACTTTTCTTTCTAATCACTTGCTGTTTGACCTTCTCTATATACTTTGAAGAGACTAATGTCTGACTAAAATTACATTTTATGTATAAAACACAAAGCAGAAGCACTGGCTTATTTAGTAAAACAGATGTCAGCAGATCAGATTTACACGCGTTTATGTATTTCTCTTTGTTTCTTAATCAAATAATGCTGTTGGTCACACACCCTTTTATTTTGGGCAATATTCATCTGCATTAGGAATCGAAAGATGCAGTTGACAATCTTCAAGCAGACTAGTGTGCAGACAAGAGGTGACTTGCAGGAGGGACATGTCTTCTACGGTTGTGCTGTATAGAGTAAAAAGATTCTCATTGCTTGTGGTTGAACCCTCAAAAAATATTAGGGGCAGTTTAAAGCACAAGCAAGAAATGTCAAGAGAGGGAGTGTGTATGGTGGCATAACAAGAGTAAACATACAACAGAGAATTTGTGTCCTAAGAGCTTGTGGATTTCACAGCTATAACGAACTGCTTTTTGCCTGTGCTTAAGTGCTGAGGATGTATTGATGCCTTTCCCTCCAGGAAGGACAGCCCATCTACCTGGCGGTGAAGGGAGTAGTGTTTGATGTCACCTCTGGAAAAGGTTAGTGTGCTTCTCCTCTGCTGTTTACTCTGCTTCTATGTTATTATTCAGTCTTTGTTTTTAAATATTCCCGGTGTATTAAAAGCCTGAAGTTCAATTGCAACAAAAAAGATACACTTTTTCATCTTCTAAAAAACTTGATTTTCCTCACTGACAGGGTCTTAGAAACTCGCCTTGATGTCATCATAAGTAAACTAATGGCTTGTTACTGTGTTTGTATTAACCTTGTCTGGGCATACACATTGGGTTGGCTGATCTTAAAATCCTAAATTAGACAAAGCTTGCAAATTCTGGGGTCTACAAACATCTCATGAGAATGTAAAGCACAACTCCCTAAATATAAGGTAAATTTTAAGAATGCAGTATAGGAAGTTCAAAAGCTGTATAACCCCAAAAAGTAGGAAATCCAAAGTCAGTTCTGGAAAGAAAGCTCTTAGACTTGAGTTGTTGCTTTCAGTTCACTGACATTCTGTTCACAGTCTGGTGAAGGGTAGGGGCTGAACATCCCCTGTACATTTTTAGTTCATCACTGGATTTTATTTATTTAATTTTTAATCTGACAGAATTTTATGGAAAAGGAGCCCCATACAATGCTTTGGTTGGAAAAGACTCAACAAGAGGAGTTGCAAAGATGTCTCTGGATCCAGCAGATCTTACACATGACACAGTAAGAAAATGGGCCATCGGTTTGATTCCTTTGCAATTTTTTATTATTATACAAGATGATGAGTGATGATTTTAAATTGTTTATATAAGTTGACTCACATATTTAAAGTCAAAATGCATTAGTTCTCTTTAGATACATAAAACATATTTATTGGTCATGAAAGATGCCAGCAGCTTTCAAGAGGAAAGTTTTTAATTTGTGGAAACAATACAACTTCTGTAAGCATATAGAAGGGAAATCACCTGCTGTTTAAGAAGATGCTCACAAACACAGTAAATCCCTTTCTTTTGGTTTGGTGTCTCCTGATGTGGCAGTGAATGCTGGCTGTGCTGGTGGGTTGTTGCTTGTTTGACCTGAATACCTTAAAGTTTTGTCAAAGCTGAATTTGAATGGAAAGAATACCATTACAGGCTGTACTACCAATTTTATTCATCATGCTCTGCAGTGTGAAAAGCTGACCCTAAGGTTTACAGTAATCATTAAAAAAACCACAAACAAGTAAATATATCTAATTTTATTTCTTTGAGACAGGACTTTTTCTTTCCCTGTTTCCTTTAGACAGGACTCACAGAGGAGGAACTGAAGTCCCTGGATGACATCTTCAATAATGTTTATAAAGCCAAATATCCAATTGTTGGCTATACTTCTCGGCGAATTCTGAATGAGGATGGCAGCCCCAATCTGGACTTTAAACCTGAAGATCAGCCACATTTCAGCATTAAAGATGAGTTCTGAAGAACATTTTTGTACCCAGAGAATGCCTGGGCAGAGGCACAGCAGAATATTAAATTAATTCCCTGTGTTCTGGAGTTCATTACTACAATTAGCTGCCATGAGTAATTTCTCTGCTCAGAAAATAAGTGTGTGTGTGTACACACATGGCATAGAGGAAACAAACAGATCTGTAGTAGTGTCATACACCTGGGCTGTTTGCTGGGAATTACAGGAATTATTTAACCTGCAAGTTCTTTCTGCCAGGATTTCTCTGTTAAGAAGCATATAATGTAAAATTACATTCCTTAGAAGAAAGAAGAAAGCTTTTAATAATTGAAATATGACTGGTCTTTTTGTAAATCCCAAGCTGTTTCCCACTCCTTGGAAAAGTGTAAATTAATTTTTTGGACAAACTAACATCAGTTGTCTGTGCTTCATGTGAATGTAGGTAGCACACAAGTACAGACAAGTGCAATACATACATGGGCTTACATTTTCAAAAGCATTAAGGAGTTTAATATTTGATGGGTTTGAGAGAACTGGATATAAAGCCACTCAGTCTCCTCAATGTAGTTACTGTGGAGTATTTCTGCAAAGCCTACAGCTGTAAACTGAGAAAAATAAATCTATTTTTCCCACATGAAGACTACTGTGACATTTGAAATAAGACTATTATGTTAGGTTTGGATAAATGACACTTTACTTTTTAAAAATAATTATCAAAGATGTTATCTATATTAGATTATGATGATTTTCTTCTGCCTTCCTCCAATCTTTCTCTGGCAAAAAGAGAAAATCCTAGCCCACTGTTTGCCACATACTCTTACAGCACAAGTTTCTGATAGCAGCTTGGTGTCCTGTGGACATTGTTAGCTTTTTTATATTAACAATTTCAGTTCTCATTTTTTATGTCTCTTAGATTTCCTTTGTTCTTACCCTGGTTCATTAAAACTTACTGCTGTTTTAACGAAGTGTGCAGTGCCATATTTCTCTTCCTCTTAATCTGATACAAAAGTGCAGACCCTGCAGTGTGAAAGCAGACCCCATTGATGGTGTTTCCCTGGCAGTCTTCCAGCAACAAGAGGACTGTAAAAGCCTGAGCTGTAAATTGCTGCTAACCACCAACTCTAACTAAGGAGAAAGTGA